TCCCCTCTGCCGCACTCTCGCCCACAAGTCACGGAAAACGCAACCACGTTTCTGCGTTTTACTCAAGTGTCCTCCAGTCCCGCAATGAAACCCACTCCCAGATCGAGTAGAGCCATTGCCATTGTTTCAATTTTCATATCGCTTTCGTTGTCGTTTTCGTTGTTGTTGCTGTTGTTGTTATTATTGTTTTCTCTGATTTTGATGACCTCGTGCATTTTACGTATTCTATAAATAAGAATTCTGCGGTCTCATATTTTTATTGCATATTTTATACGATTTTGATGCAGACCGAGGGCAGAGGCCAGAGACCGGAGTCAGAGCCCGGCCAGAGCCAGAACCAGGGCAATCCAGAACTTGGCAATCCAATTGTCATTCGTGACAGCTGTCGATCAGGAATGGCGGCTGAGCCTGATGCTGTTTGTATTCATATTTAACGGTGGTTGGTTCGCAATTTATTGACAGCCGCGTCTCCATTCGCAGCCTCTCAATTGAATTGAGATTTTCATGTAATTGCCGCCCTTTGTTTAGCCGCATGTTTGCCATATTTTGTAAATTATATAGCATTTACATAATCTAAAGAAAAAGAAGGAAAATATAAAACAGAAATGTTATATGATATGATTTGATATATCAAATGCGTATCTTCTACAGGGCTTATCTAGGCATCGATTTTGTCATGTTGATTCACGTCAAAAAATTAATTGAATCTTTTTGTCTGTTGGTCTGTTGTTCAAAATATACTACAAATTAAATATTCAAAATGCAAATATTAGAAAAAAATATGCAAAAATGTTTATTAATATTTATTTCTTGTTTTTAAATAAATCTGAGATTAGCAATTTAATAGAGTATTTAATCATAAACTCAATTAGACTTAATCTGCACAGACTTATTTTTAATGATTTAATTTAATTTGTACTTTAGAGATCTAAGCAATGCGAACAAGATTTTTACTCGAGGTAGTTTAATATTTAATATAGAATTGAAAAATAAAAAAAGATAAACCGGCAAATTTATGTAATTTAATAATTTAATAATTTTATACTCACCAACTAGAGCGATTAAGAGATGCAGAGAACTGTTCAGCAGCTGTATTTTAAGCTACACAGACAGAGATGTATATTAATTTGTAGATACTGCTATAATCTTAAAATAAATAATTAAATAAATAATTTAAAAAAAAAACCTTTGCCCTGTTAAAAAGTCTGTTTAACATTTCAAAATCCTGATGTGATGTGTCTAATTTAAAATTCTGAAAAGTAACTGTAAATAACATGTATTATTTTGCATATAATAATATATTATGATTCCCAGAATATATACAGATTTTATACTATAAGTGTCTCTATCTCTCTTTCTCATTCTCTGTACTTTTCTCTCTCTCTCTCTCTCTCTCACTCTCTCTCTATCTATTCGCGCCTGTAATTGCACCTTTTGTACAGCTCGTGTGACAGGCATATAGATCACTTGGGGCGTATCGAATTTTTGTCTGCTTGATTCCATTCAAATGACGCACGATTTGCAGCGGTTGGGTGAGGGGGCGAATCAATTTTGGATTATGTCTGTTTAATGTTTGGCAACTGCGTCACACCTTGCCAACAAAAATTTTACAAACGAGATGCCATGTGACACGCACAACAGCAACAGCAACTACAACAACAACAATAACAACGACAACTGGAACGAGAAATACTCGCTGAACACCTTTTGGCCCGTACATGATTATCGAGTACATTCAAATTCACAATTCAAATACATTTCACGAACTGCTGGCGGAGACATCCGCGTCGAGAAATTACCCTGCCAATTGTTTTGCAACCGGGCGCAACTCCCAAAATCAGAGACAAGACCAAAAACCAAGGTAGAGAGCAGCGCGGTGAGAGAGGGGTGTTGAGAGTAGAGCCGCCTTTGCACATTCCCGCACAAAAACATCTGTCGCGGATGTCGGAAGTTGTATCTGACGGCACGCCCCACACTTCGGGCACGCGGCATAGCGAACTGCTCTAAAAGTGGGCGGCTTGCAAATGCCGGGCATGGTCATGTCACTTTTTCACTGCAAGCTGCGATTTGGCAGCACAGAACAGAAACGAACAGAAGTTACGGAAATTATTCATAATAATTTTCCAGCACGTGGCATGTGACATGTTGTCGGAAGATGTTATCGCCCGCTCACAATAAGGGTTGTCTGTCAACGGAAGCCTGGCGGTAGATAATAGAGGAGGAGTCGAAGCATGCGGAAACCGGGTTGACATGCCAGCATTTCGACGAAAACTAGCCGGACCGGAGTTCATTAGGCCTGAGGGCTCGAGCTATTTAAAAGGACAAAAGCAAATGAAATGATAATCTTGGTTGAAAATATAAAAAATACATATATAAATACCCCTGTAGATAGATGGCTGGGTACGAGGGCTATATTGGCGAAAGATTGCTGTTGTGGTCAGATGATATAGTATATATTTGATTTAATCTACGCCGAAGGCCTCAGTAGCCAGGGGTTTACTCTATAAGCTAGTTTTTAATATTATTAATAAACGATTAAATAAACTCAAGAAGTTATTCAAGTTAAAGAGAGATTTTTTACAGAGTCTGGAAAACGCGGTAAGCTAATAAGCGATCTGGCATCTCTGTCAAAAGATATAAGGCTGCCAGAGGGGTCAATCGAAAATGGACATATATAATATAGGTGTAATACTATATGTAAAACTTACTTTCTCCCGATTCCTTACAAACCTATTAAGGTACTCAGTGTGGAAGGCAACTCTGCTCGACGAAATTCTCTGCAAAAGTGAATTGTATATATAGACACAATCACTATGCACTAAGCTTTAACAAATATCTCAGTTGAAACTGTTAGATGACTAATGAAATTGAATAACCCCCTTCGTCTTACTGACATCAGCCTCACATCATTCTCATAAATTATAAATATTCACGGGCAAAAAAACAAATCATAAACGAACTGTTCACGGGCTTCCTTATGATAATGACGTGATAATTGCTTGGCACTTGGATAGCATCAAAAATCACGGGAGGCAGGCGTCAAATGTCGCTTGTCTACCCATCCCTCCGTTGGTCTATTCCGGTGCCATCCGGGCCGTCGTCATCCGGTTGTGGAATCCTTGCAAGTGACACATTCACATTTTATAGCACAAGTTCAAAGGACTTTGCGGAGCACACCTGCTGTGCGTTTTTAATTGCAATGTGACGAAGATGCCAAAACCGAAATATGCCGGCAACCTGACAGGATTAAGAAGCGACCGCCCGGCGCTTGGAAACAAAGTAATTACAAGCCTAAAAGGAACAGAAAAAATACAGATATATACTTAGATATATATATATGTGTGTATATAAATTGAAAATAAGTCGCTTCAATTAGACGCCGCACACATCAAGTGTCGCAGACCCGGAAGAGAGAATGCCACAACATTTCACGCAAAGGAAAAAATAAATATATATAGCAAGAGAGAGCTAGAGAGAAAGCGAGAGCGAGAGAGAGAGAGAGAGAGAGAGAGAGAAAAAATAAAAATAAAATTTTCTGATGTGTATCGAAAAAGTTCTATTAGCGGCATAAAGGAAATCGTTTCTAATAGCCAGCGCCACGTGTGCCTTGTGCAGTCGTGTGTCAAAAGGACGACCGCAGCTCACTCCCACTCCCAACGAACGAAGGACTCTATCTGCCCATTGGCAAACAATACAATTGAAAAATTATCAAAAATTTCGCACTTCTAATCCAAGCGATGCGTAAATTCTGTCGACCAACGACTACCGGACCCCGTCGAACCCTGCGGCAATGCCTGAGCGGACAGAGATACACTTGATCCCACAGTCAGGCACGCGCCACCCCCTGTCGAGGGCTCTGGGCTCTGGGCCCTGGGCTGTGGGATGTGGGCTGGGCGCTGTTTGTCAAGACGGGCAGACATCATCAATATTGCAGCACGGCCCGGACCTTGGCCCGGGGTCTGTCAAATAAGCGTACCTAATGTGTATTAAGTGCACTTTGCCCCAGGTTCCGGCTGACGGGGAGATGGCCTCTGCATAAGTTAAGCTAATCACGGTAATAGCCACAGTTCATGCAAATGTTTCGCAGACAGTAATAGATGCGATATGCCATGAGTCAAGTAGCAAGGTCAATGGGTGTCGTACGACATGATTTGTATCAAGCAAATTAGTATAGGGAGAATATTTGAGTAGAGCATGTTAAGAGAGGGAATGGAGTTTAACCATTTCTTATAACATCAAGTAATCAGCAATATGTATCAGGCAAGAAATATGAGGAAAGTAGAGCACTTCTTGTGTGTATTATACGAGTATACCAACTATCTAGCTCATAGAATACATTTATACATCAAAATAGAGAAAATGGCTGACGAAGGGGAAGACAGCAAACCTGCTTTTCCAGTTTCACTGTTTTTTTAAGTAATATTTAAAAATCTCTATTAATTGCTAAAGTAAGTTATTCAAGTTAAGTGATACACCAATATTTTCTGGGTCTTACCCACTTCCAAAAAAAGTGTAGTAACTTTAAACATATAGCTACGTTATAAAAGCTTCAAATTGTACATACATATATAGATTAAGATCTTCACCACATTTATCCAAAATATTCTCAAATTCTCAATTCTCTAACTAACCTAAAAGTGTGCAACTTTTCAAGTAACCTCACTCTGTTTACACACCTCGTTTACCAATAAATAATTCAAGTAAATCAAAACTGGTTTCTCCATATGCTTATTTGTTTCCAATTCCGAGATACTTTCGCCTAACATAACTCGACAACAGTTAAATTTATGAAAACAGTTACTCAGCCACAAGGTATTGTTTAACGGAAATAAAATTAAATGGAACATAATATCCAGCACCAGAGACAAATCATTATCTCATACTACGCTTCGGCATTCAACCAGAAAGTTCAACATAACCTCAATTTTTGTTCATCTGCGACTTAAAACACGTTTTTTGCTTTTTTTTTGCGCATCTGTTTTTTTTTTTTTCTTTAGTTTTTTCGTAAATTTTGTAGAATTTAACACTTTCTAATAACAGGCTTAAGACTAACTTACAAATTTACCCATAGAACCCAGACAAAACAATTGGTCTCAATCACGTTGCACTACGGCTAATAAACTAGCCCAAAGACACCTCCTCCCCTCCGCAGCCCCACCCTTTTCTGGCTAGGAGTTAAGAGAAGTGCATGCCGTTGAACTGGTCGCGATTATCCTTGACCATGTTATTGTATTTCCATTTCTCGTCGCTCGACGCCTGACTGCTCCAGGCGCCCGAACTGGAACTGGAGCCCGAACGGGAACTGAAATTGGACTGATGCTTCGAATGGGATTTGTCATGCTTTCCGGCGCTCTCCTTGCTGGACGACAGACACTTGTCGGTGCGTTCTGTGTAGACCATTTTGTTGGGTTCACTTGAGCTGCTTTTCTGGCTTGATTCAATTTTAGTATCTTCTCGATGGCGGTTTCCAATTACACTGAGCTGCGCAGTAGCTAAATGTTTCTCTTTCTAGCTAGCTCTTATGGTTCACAGTTCACGGCACAGTCTGCAGCAGAGTCAGCACCTTCAGTTCCTTATTGTTGGCCGAGTTGCCCGTACGAGATCCTTTGCTGCACGCTAGGCTTTTGTCCAATCTGCAATGTGTCACAGACATGGCCTCAGTTAGCTAACTTGTTTTCATTTTTTTTTTCCTTTTCGCATAACTTAACAACACTGGACTTACCCTAATTGTTTGTCTAGTTTAGTAACTGGTTTGCTAATTTTTGGCATTGACACAAAACTTTTGCAATTTGCACATTGATAAAGAAATGATAAATTTAATGGAGTTTGTAATTTTGTACGCAAGGATTACGTGAACGGTTTGCCAAGCGCTTGATTCAGCTGCAGCGTTCGCCTCTGTTCGGAACTTTCTACTGAGCCTCTAACGATGCCTGCAACTGGTTTAAATAAGCGAATGCTTCAAAATGCAGAGCCCGACAGCTCAGCGTGACGGTTCTAAGCAGCAGCAGCAACAGCAGCAGCAGCTGCAGGGCAACGTGTCGCATGAGCAATAAAGAAAGCCCCGCTAACCGCCCTCGCCAACCGCACCCCCTGCCAGACCGCCTTCACCTCCAATGAGCAAAGCTGGCCCTGTGTTTCAGTGACCAGACCTCAGACCTGGGGCCCCAGACTCGGACGCAGACAAAAACCCGTTCGACGTTGTCGTCGTCGGCAATGCAAATTAGAGTTGCCAACTAACTGGTTTGTCACATTTGCAAATCGCAACACAAACAAGCCAGAAAGCAGATTGGGTAAGGCATGGTCAGCTGGCAGATACCCTGCATGAATTTTAAAGCAAATATACCAGCTAGTTTCAAGCAAGTAACATCTTTTGAATATATATTTTTGATAGATCTGTATCCAGGCATGGGAACAGCTGGGATCCTAACTCATTCCCTAGTTATAAAGTCATATTTTTACAATCTTAATCAAAAGTACATCAATACTTGAAAATAAACCAAAATCAAATAGTTCAAATGTAAACTGATCACTCATATGGTAAAGGATTCTCAATCCTCGATATAGTTCATATACCCAATAAAATCTTACGATCTCTCGCAAAACACCCTTTCGTCCACTTATACTACAGGATATACAAAGAGCAGCAACATGCGCTCCCGCTACTCCACCGCCTGTTGAGTGAACTGTCTGAACCTGCTGAGACTCACGTAGTACGAGTTACTGCGTCAACATTTGCCACCGGCCGGCTCTATGAGGAACTCGGCCTAGATGAGTTATCTTAACATTTTTTGCTGTTTTTTTGTTTTTCAACACTGTTGCATTTCCATTCAGCTGACGTGTGGCCATCGCATGAATAATATGAATATGTATACATCCAATACTACGACTGTCTCTGCTGAGTATACGAATATATAGTATGTATATATCGGTAGATTATGCATGAGCCTGACTGATGAAAAGTTACCATTGCATTGCATCAGCCAATTCGGACAAGAAATCAACACGAAAGCCAGTAAACAGCTTTATATCCATATTTGTATTTAAATCTGTTGTTGTTCTTGTTGTTATATAGGGTGTATATAGTCATCTAGAGTTGGATCGATCTGTGATATAACTTGCTGTAGTAAATAATCCCGCAAATATTGAATACTATATAGGAAATTCTCATAATATTGCCCACACTGCAGCGCAGCCCAAGTGCAGTCGCTGCTTACTGCGCAGTCAGCAGAGCGCGTGATTATACGTGCGTGTGGATGCGTGTGTATGCATGTGTGCATAAAAGAAGTACAGAATGAGTAGAATATCAGCTTAGAGGGTTCAGGGTATCTCCCAGTCGAGCAGTCTCGACTGGAGCCTTTTTACTTGTTTTATGCAACAATCCAAATCTAGATACAAATTATATGACGTACAAATTTACAAAAATAAAATTTTTTACCCTTGAATCAATACATACTTATTTGATATGGGATATATTTTATTGTAGATAGATTTCTATATTTCAAATAAATAATACGAAGCTCTTTTTACGGCTAAGGCTTAGCGTTACTTCAAGAATAATAAGAGTTATTTCCTTCAAGACATATGGTTTATTTTTTAATTAAAATTAAAATTTTTTATAAACTAATATTTACTTTCCTTATTCATTATGAGATAATAATATGGCACGCGCAACAATACTTAAAAAAAAATAAAATAAATAAAATTTAAAAATAAAAAAAACCTTTTCGATAGAAATTTTATTAAAACAGGCCAATCTGGTATTTTTAAAATTAGAAATGATATTTAAATAATGAAGGAAACATATAGTATATTTTCATATATTTCTTGATTTTAGAAAACCTATGGTATATCTTCATATCTTACTTCATTTCAGTCTAACTACACTCGCTTTGTTAGAGCAATTATTATTAATCTTAATTATCATAAAAACTTCTCCCTTCTCCATCTTCCCTATCTTATGTAAAACTTTTTACATACATCATTTATCATACAATGTGAATTGAAATCGAGTTGAACAAATTATTATTGTTATTGTAAAAATAAATACAATAAATTGGTATATATATAAATATATATTCAGTAGTATTTTTATAATTAAACATATTGTTGTTTACAATAAACAGTCGGCCATTGACTGCTACTGAAAACAAAAATAACAACATAAAAATATTAACTGGGTATTGTACTTTGAACGTCTAGGGTCCTCTCGGCTTAAATGTCAATATTTGCACTTGGCTCTCTGGCTTTAAATTGGAATCGATGCTAATGTGTGACAGACCGTTAAATGTCAAATTCTTTTATTATTTCGTATTGCTATATGCATTATGCAAATGTAGCCAGACATTTTGGCTGATTTTTTTCATTGTTCAATTTATGTTTTAATTTTGAAACGTGCCCAGACATTGGCTCCACACAAAATATTCCATTACGTGGTAGCAAATGCACAAATATTTCAGGTATATAAAGCAAAATAAAACTTGGAAGCATTTTGTTGAAATAAGTATGTAGAAGAAGTCTGTTGAAATGGGTAAAAATTTGGGGAAGATAGGTTAGGAGAGATAAAAATAAACTTTTTAAAAGGAATAAGTACTACAGAATATATATTTAATTTAAGTTAAAGTTAGCTTAAGTCAAGCTGAACCTTAAATAAAAATTTATTAATAATAATT